ATGGAATAATCATACATTTAATGAGCTGAAACAATGTAATTATGAAATTGGCACAGCCATTCTTCCACTGAGGTATTGTAATATGAAAAGTCCTATTAAAAGTGTAATGTTCTCCCTTGCACATTTTCAGTCACTTGACATATTTCATCTCCTTTCAATAAATCCCCTCGCCATGTTAAAAGGGCAATTAGAGCAATGGGTTAGTAAGCACAGCAAAGATTCACTCCACTTCCCCTTTATGATTTCTCTCCCTCTCTGACGTCTTCTTCCCCCCTCCCCCCTTGTCGTTTCATAAAACAAGTGGAGCGCCTATAAAAGTTTAGTTGTATAAACTTGCTCGTATTGCTGTGCCACAAATTGTGGTGCCATAAAGTGTAATTGTGATCCCGTTTGCGTAGAAAAGGTGAACATTGACTTGCTCCGATCAATAAAACATCTCAGAGTTTAAAGATATATTGGATCTCTCGGGCTCATTGGGCTCACAATCCATTATGGATTGCATCTTTCACTCGCTGAAAATCAGTAGAGAAACAAGGTTGCTGCTCGTAATGGCTCTCAATGCAGGAGCTCAATCGGCATCACAGACGAGCTGCTTCCATCGTGTTACTGCCTTAAAACTACAGAAACTCTGTGACCTGTGTTACGACATTTGAACATATTTGTGTCAGTCAAAAATAGACAACCATCAAAGATATGAAGTCTTTCATTTATAGGCTTTTTACCTGCAGTATATTGATAATGCAATATCAAAAGACAACAACAGAGCATTAACCAAACACAGCAGCCACTTTGAATTTAGTAGTGACTTTGGATGGGACTTGATTGTAGTTAGAATACTGAATATTTTTATTAATGCAAACATGGTTTTTGATCAGCAATTGCCAATCGATTTGTCAGCACTCTGTATTTACCTTTCTACAAAGTAGTTTTTATTGCTTATGGTGGAGTCTGACTGTCTTTCCTCTCTGCTAGTGCGGTGCTCTATGTTTACAATGCATTAAAAACACATTAAAGTGTATCCAAAGTAAGACAACTGCCAGTTTTTCCACCTTTTGTCAGCTAAATTACTTTTAATAAAGGCTGTAAAGAGAGGTAACTTTAAATTATAGAAGAAATCCAGTCAAATGATTTGATGATTGGATTTGGTTTGGATGAATGTTGATTTGCAGTGACAAAGAAATATTTAAGATGTTTTAACAATTTCAAGTCCCTCCAGCCATTGATTAAACCCACAAACACTCAACGCAGTGCACCAAAACTGTATATGTAGTGTTGTCTGTGAAAACAATCCCTTGCTGCCTTTAGTACATCAGATATAACGCTGCACTGTCACTTCAGATCTATGAAGTTCCCACCTCTCTGTCACTCACTGCAGCTCGAGCACACCAGCTCACTTATAACTCCCCAAAACACTGCAAAAATGCTGTGTGACAAGTTTTAATATTGGAGAAATTCATTGGGAAAATAAAGCAGAATGATGATACAGGAAGCCTGAAGGTTGACAGGATGGTGTCATTAAATTTGTCACGTATTATACTGTGAGAGTCTGAGTCTGTGTTTTTGAGACTGTCGTCTGTACACTGTAGTTTCAAGATAGAAATGTTCTGCCGTGGTGGTGACTGTTTATATCCCTAATGACGTCATAAAAGAATACCATAGGAACATAAGGGGGAGTTAAAAAAAATCATGCAAATACATTTCTATTAGTCTACTGAATATAGTAGAGGTGGATTTCTAGGTATAGTTTGTGCTGTGGTGCCCCGAGACAAGCTTTGATTGAGTTCTGTGGAAGTACAACACATACGAGACGTGGTGTACAATTACAGGCTAAACACCTGCATTTACCTCTGAACGTAAAGTCTGCGTCGGCCTGGTGAATCAGCGTGAGTCTGCATATATTATATTTCCGTGACTCACTGCTAGCTCTGCTGACATGTTGAAGTCTTGATTTTTTTAAAAAAAAGGGCAATACAAATATCATTTCCTCTCTTGACAATGCTTGAGACAAGTCGCTGGTTTCTAATTTGTTCTAAAACAAATGTCAGTGTAACAAACCGCTGGGATGTTTCTCACCCTGGCTTTTAAGTAACAAGTGAGACTTTAATCAAAGAGGTGCTCTGTGTTTTGACAGCGTAATGATACAGACACAGAGGTAATGGCTCTCGTAAAACTCCTGACTCCGTGAAAGCACTTTGTTTTTCATTAAACCCTCTTCAGTCTTCTTTTGTAGTTTCCTCGTTTCGTCCTTGAATTTGTGTAGCTTTCTGTCCTTTTTGCCTCCTTTTTCTTCCCCTTTTCCTTTTACCTATTTGGTGTTTTCCGCCCTATTTCCCTTTACCTTGCCTTTTGTAGATCACCTTCATCTCTTACTTTTTCCGCTGCTTTCGCTCCTTGCCTTTTCTTTTAGATTCCTTCCCAAATTATTTCTATTTCCCAATCCCTCTTTTTGCTCAATCTACTTCCTTTCTCTTTCTTTTTGTAACTCTACCTTTCCTCGCCCCTTTCCTCAGTGTTAGGTTAAATTAGAAGAGAACCATCTTAATAGTATCTATTCTAACTCCACACATCGCACAGTAATTTAATTAAGACTGGATCTTGAGCATCCTGGCCTTGTTATAAATCACTGAGCCTCAACATCGTTGATGTCCTTAATCAGAGCTCTTTGCTTTGTTTTCAGGCTCTTGTCCGACTCTGTTGTTAGACTTCCTACTCGTCCTGCTTAGTTTAATTTCCTCTGATGTATTTGGAATCGTCCTTTAAAGGCAAAGCACATTTTCCACCTCTCATTCAGTGGCCAAAGCACTGTTTGGCAGAGTGAGGCAATTCATTTATAATGAATGGTATTCATGACTGTGCGTGAACAGACTGCTTCATTTCAGCAAGGATCAATACTGTGTTAAGATATCACCACCTTTTGCCACTGGCTGACATAAAACCATGGGGATTGGAGCTGGTTATAAAAACATTTCCAGAGGCAGGCTTTTACTGGGAGTTGTGTAGTCAGTTGTGTCCAAGTCCAGTCATTTTGGATATTTAGTCAGCAATTAAATGCTTATTTCTACTGAAGGCACATAATTGATAGAAATAAAAATATATTTCTTTGCTTGTGCCAAACTGTCGCACAATTTTTGTTCAACACAACTTACCAGAGTTTCAGATGGCACTGGGAAAGTTTACATATCAGCAACCCCACATAATGTTACCTGTGTTATTTTTGTCAGTCACATAAGTTATCATCCTAAAAGCCTTTTTGCCAGTGGCCTTGAGAGTTCAACACACTACAACTTGAAAAAAAACAAACAAACGCTGCAACATTCAGAAATACCTCCAGGGGTACTAAAAAGTGATGCACAGCTTGGACAGACTTTTGGCAGTAGGTAGCAACGCATGTAGCTACTTTAAAACAAACAGAAAACTTACATTTTAGCCTGTTTTTGTCCAACAACACTGATAGACAGTCGACTTCACCAACTTTAAGAGTCACAAAATACTGCAACAGCACGAATATTGTAGCCGTGTTGACCGCTTTTTAACGATTAATATAAATGCTTCCACTGTACTGTGATCTGATTGCTGCATTTTATGTATTTGGCTGAGTTTTCTTTGGGGTTGTTTTTCCTTTTTGTTCTGTTAACTTGAGCTCATAGACTGTATGTAAAATATGTCCCCGATGTCACCCATTGGTTTCTCGACTACCATTTACAAGCCTCATAAAATCTGCCATTAAAATCCTGTTAACTCCCCCATCCCCACTCTCACCCCAACCAGGCGAGGCAGATGGCCACCTTTCCTGAGCCTGGTTCTGTCTGAGGTTTGTTATATTCCCCCTGCCTATCAGGGTTTTTTTTTTTAAATTTGGTTCCTTCCCACGTTGCTGACAGCTTGCTCGAAGGGAATCCAAAGGAATCCATTGAGATTTGATTGGATTGTTGGGTTCTCTGTTTAAAATTCGTAAGGTCTTCACCTCACTATGCTAATAGCTGTGAGATGACATATGCTTTGAATTCAATCCATCCATCCATTATCTATACTCCGCTTAATCCTCACTAGGGTCGCGGGGGGACTGGAGTCTATCCCAGCCGACTTAGGATGAAGGCAGCGGACACCCTGGACAGGTCACCAGTCTATCACAGGGCTACACTTAGAGACAGACAACCAAGCACACTCACATTCACACCTACGGACAATTTAGAATCATCAATTAACCTCAACATGTTTTTGGACTGTGGGAGGAAGCCGGAGAACCCAGAGAGAACCCACACTGCACTATAAAAATAAAAATGAATTGAAAAAATGTCATGGTAGTGAAGTTACATTCAGTAACTTCTATTTTTCTGGCAGAACTTTTAGACAGAACTATTTTTCTTGTTTCAATACAGATATGTTTTAACATCACAACAACCTATCATTTAACCACACTCAAGCAAATAGTTTTGACCAGAAAATGTTCACACTGGTTGTGTAGCAATTTGAAGATTTTTGTATTATTGTCACTGAAAAGTGTATTAACTTGATAAAACTATATCTGCTTTTTATGTAAATACAGAATCTGTACATGCATTGCAACTGCAGATTTACCTGACACTCTTGTACAGACTTTTAAAGACTCTAATAGTAATGAAACTACTTTGAAGAGCTCTGGAAACAAGTGGTACAATCTGTTGAACAATGCGTGACTGAACCAGAACCTGCAGCCAAAAGAAAAGAAACTAAAGGTTGGATGGACACAATGTGATGTCTGAATTAACGAGTCATTGTGCCACCTCAGTGCGAGTAATGGTCTCCGCCTATAAAGCCTATAAAAACAGTCTGGCTCTGTTTGGCGAGTAATTCAGTAAGTGAGATTCTAATCCAGATATTTGATAACGGTGTTTTGGTGGCCTTGTGTCTTGGGAGTGTGGCCTCCTCACCTCATTTTGTTGATAAAGCATCAGCGCCTCAGTTCAGTTTGTGAAACGTCAGTGTTGTGCTGATTGGCTGATAAGCTATCAGTAACTCACCTCATTGGTTGAGAGAACCGAGTCTTCATCCAGACTGAGAACAGCATCAGTGATGATGATGTCGTGAGGGAAAAAACGACTGCTCATCGTCTGCAGAGAGACAAAGAGGCAATAATTTGTCGATATAGTTAATGCAATAAAATCATTGTTATATTTTTAGGAGGAAAAAATATGATGAAACTCTGAACTGCTGAAACTTTACTGATTCAAAGCTGTTTCAGGGTCAAGGAACTCTTGTTTACTTCAATAAGCATTATAGAGACGGTAGAGGGGCATGAAAAAAATCTTGACAAATAAACAACAAATGTGTTTGTTTCACCCCCAACTGTGTGTCTATCGATCAACGAGCTCACTTAATAGGTTTTCTGTGAGTCGTTATCAATTCAGTGCCGAACAGAAAGTGTAGTAGACCTTGATCCATTAGCCTAAAGATGGCTGCTGCTGATGTTATTGACTTGTGATTAAAGTGTGAATTATTTAACTGTTTGTGTGGTGAAGGAAAGAGGGCACAGATCCTGGATGTATGGGGAAAATGTTCAGTTAACATAACCTGCTCCCTGAAACACATACAGGTTCAAAAGTGAAACAAAGGAAATAAGGTACAGTCACTTTAGACAACTAACAAATTCAACAATGAGTTTTGCTAATGTGTTCAATCACCATCTATGTGTATTATTGCAGCATTAACTACAACATAGTTTCTAAAACGCTGTTAAGATTTTGTCATTGGAAATGTTTTAGGGGTGCTTGTGGCGTAGTTGAGTTGAACAGGGACGATGTCCAGTGTATCAAATAAAAGTGCCTTGAAATATGGTTCAACAAAATAATGTTTTCTTTCTTCATATTCAGTGTAGAAGTACAGAAGTGACTACATCCCTGTGCAAAATTGTGTTGCTTCTCAAAAACAGCATTATTCATATGTGACTAAGTCTATTGTTTCCTCTTATGACCACATGTACTTTACAAAGTCTACATGAAAAAGGCAGGCCACAAAGTAGAAACTCATTGCAACAAAAGTGAATACAGCTGTGATCACTGACACACAAGTTATCAAACCTATGATCATTTAAATGAAATACTTGTGATTTCCAACTAGCCTAATTGCAGGAACATGGTTATAAAATGAAATGGGAACACCACACATTCTCAGTGTCCATCTGCATCTCTGCACCATGGGCCCACATAGAAAAGAATTGCCAGATTAACAAAAAAATCGGATTGTGAGACTTCACAAAGATGAAAAAGGATACAGGACAATCAGTGACAAACTAAAAATCTGTTGAAACACAGTTATTTGGCTCAGATGGCAAGCAAGTTTGGTCTAAACCTGGTCAGGACAAGCATAGTGGTTTGCAGACAGGTTGGTGTTTATACCTGCAAGGCATTCCTGCCTGTCGCACCTCTGCTGGTACCTGTTGTACCAGCTACAGGGTCCTCAGCTGGGAGCCATCCTTCACTGGTGTTTCGCTCCTTTAATTTTCATAACACCTCAGGATGGTGGGGCAGCGGTCAGGGCTGTCTTCCTGCCACTCCCTGCAGCTGGTAGTCAATGATCAGATGGGTGCTGCATGGCTTCCTGGTTTCCCCAGCTTCAGTCTTTCCTTCGTATCCAGAGCCAGAAGCTTCCTTTTTCTGCTTCTTCCGCAAATTCTTTCAGGATGTTCTTCACTTTTCCTGCTGTGAAGCCAATGTGAAGGTTGAGAAGCTTGGAAAGCCGTGGCAGCCGACTTTCGTTGGATAGATTGACGCTCTCCAGCCTTTTTCCTGCTACTCTGCCATTAAGACACTGCAGCCTTTTCCTCTCGTATGCTTCCTTGACGCCCTGTTCCCAGGGCACTGTCAGTTTGACCAGCAGAAGACGCCTCTCTGCCACCAACCACAGGACAACACCACATGGGCCTCAGTGCGGTGCTGGAAATGTCAATGGGAAACCGTAGCTGCCTGTCTAGGCCCAGGAACCTCCGGGAGACAGGGCTGGTGTTTTCAATTGGTGGCAGTTTCTCAAAGATTGTCCTGCTGACACGAACTGGATACACTGTTTATGCTGGGTTCTTGGTCATCCGTTTGCCAGAACTCTCATGCTCTCTGTATGTTCTGCCAGCTTCCTTTGGACCTGGTCATGCCACCACCTGTACCAACCCTTGGCCAGGGCAGCCACACAGGTGGTGACACAGGTTTCCTGGGGCTGTTTCACACAGATCACAGTTCTCATCTGCTCTGTACCATCTTGCCAGTTTTGCTGGGCTAGGGAGGGTGTCTTATGTGGCTCTTACCTGGATAGCTGAGCTTTGTCTGGGGCATCCTCCAAAGGTCACTCCACCCCACTGACCTTGGAAGAATGCCCTCCCACTTTGTCCATTGCCCTTGTTGGCATTGGCCAACAGCTTTCAGAAGGAATTTGTCTTCCTCCATCCCTGTCACTTCTGTGACCACCGAGGCCTTCCTCTTTCTCTGTGGACCAAAGCTTCTGAGGCTCCCCCCAGCCCAGGCCAAGTCTTTATTGTTGAGTAGTTCCAACTATCTCTTGGTGTTTGAGTCTGGAGGTGGCATTGTCCGCACGGTCTTCTGCTTTCCATGCTCTGCCTTTTCAGAGCATCCTGACCGGTTGGCCACTTGACTGCCTGAGTTCTAACACCAGCCTGACCTACTCCAGCTTGTACCCAGTCGTGATGTTCTTCAATGGCAGCTGCAGGACATTCCTTCCAAACAGGGCAGCCTCCAAGAAGACCCTTGAGAGTCCTAGCCCCTTCCAGGTGTAGTTGTTGTCCTCGATGTCCAGTTTTTCTACTTTTGTTGTTATTTTGCACATCTTCAAAGGCAACATTAGGCGATGGTTAAGTGTGGCTTGATAGCACCAGACTGAATGCATAGTCCCAACAATGTAAACAGAGGTTGGACTGTGATGATATATCCTGGCTAACAAAATGACTCACAGTCTGCAGACGTTTGTCAGAAGAGGACTATTTCAGCATAATACCAATCTAAAGTACACTGCCAGAATTACACTAGCATGTCTAAAGGAGAAAAAAGTCCAAGATATGACAACAAAAAAGGGATCAAATATGAAAAGCACAAGGAAAGGGATCAAATAGGATTTTTCAAGGGTAGTTTTTAAGTATTTTTACATTGAATGTGGATGGCCAGCTAAGCTAATCACACTGGTTTTTGCATCTCAGTGTAAGCAAAGGATTTTTTTTTCATCACTTGGTAGCAAAACTGCTCAGTTCCATATTCCATATCTAGCAAAGTGTTGCTTAGCTTGAAAAACTGGTGCTTTAACTCAACCAGTAAGATTATGTCACCCCACAGCAGCATGAAACTTGAGAAGTACTTATGTTAAACTCTCTAACTGCCCTTTTTTTTTTAAGAGTTTATCTGAGTCAACTAATTTTATGTCAGTGAAATGAACCTCCATGTTAACTACTGTCACACAGTGACGTTTTCATATGGATTCACGGCTTGAAATAAAGTAGATTGAATTTACACCCCCAGGGGTAACATTAAGAGGCTTATTTAGCAAAGTAAGATTGCAAATATCCGCAAGGTTAATGTCTACTCCCATCTCAGCTTAATGAGCGGATGGGTGCTGAGTCGAAATTCATCAGGAAATTAAGCATAACATCAAACGAATTTGAACATAAATCCCCTAAATTCCTCCAAATATTTGAGAGTGCCAAATAAAATTCTGCACTAAGTTACTGATTAATGTGAGAAGTCTTGGCACAAAATGTTTTTTCTTTGGATGGTTGCCCTGTGATCAGCAGGCAGGTGATTAGTTCAGTCAGGACAGTGTTCATAGTAGGCAATAGTTTCTCAGCTTCTTTAGGAAAACCCCCTTCGTGTGTTGGAAAAGAACCATGTGCCTTTTTATCAACTGCATTCTGGACCTAATGGAATAAATGTGAAAAAAAAAAAAAGTACATTATCTAAGATGTACAAAATGATAAAGACACTTGTCAGTATATTGTAGTCTGGACAGAATCTTCATAACATACCTTCACTGCATTTCCCAGCATTCTTCAGCTAAGCTTTTGCTAACTTTGAGGATTTTCAAATTACTTGGCTTTCTTCTTGCTCTTTCATTAAATTCTGGACCAGACTCTGTCATACCATCATGTCCTGCTTTGATACGTAGACCAAACAACTAGACATAACAGTGCATTTGCATTTGTGATGAAGCAATCTCAGCTCAAGGTCCGCTGACTTGCTTGCTAAGGAGGTTTAACCATATCACATCTTCATCAGGGCGTATAATTCTTGCATTTGCTGGCAGATGCACAAACTAGGGCCATCATGTCACTGTTAGTGAGGAGTCTTTCAAACTTTAAGATCCAAGCTGACAGATGCAAACTAATTTCAAATAGAAAAAGTTGTTTGCACAATATGAATTTCATTAAAGAATTACCAACATTAACATATGCAAAAAAGATTCTATGTGATCATGTATACACCGAAAAAACAACAATTTAGCATGTGATGATGTCCCAGAGGATCTCAGAATCCTGCAGAACATCTGTATTTATTGGTAACTGAGCAAATTCAGCCTGATTTTGTGACAGCCAAAAGCTCCATGTGCATTAAACAAGTAAATAGGTCTTTTGTACCTCTTTTGTATTACATGATGGACTATAACCTTGCTCCATTTGATCTATTCTGGATATTTTGGCCGTACAAGTGGTGTGGCTGTTTGGATGGCAGTGTAGGTGCACCAGCTGGCTCGCCATTTAGGTTGAAACGGAAATAATTAAGCAACTACTGGACTGATTAACGTGTAATTTGGTACAAATGTCTGTGGTTTATTCTGATGGTTTTAGTGATCATCTGATGTCCTCTAGTAATGATCCTCTCCTGAGATTCAAAGGCTTGGTCACAATCAAAGATGATTATGCTTCATGCTTTTTGTTCATGGTGATATTTTTGCTAAGGTGAGACTGCATTTTGTTGGCTTCAATGATGAGCACCTTAGTTGTTGCTGTGAACTTGCAGAACGTTGTGTGACATCTACATATTCATGTTACTGAGGCAACAAAACAGTTTGTCAACTGGGTGATGTCATCAGGTGACATGAATAACAAAGAAGGTAGCAGAAG